ATTTAATTAAAAGCAAAGAAAACGCTAAGCGAACTCCGAAAGGTTTTCAATATCGATATGATGACTTTGCTTGGCGCTTTCTTTGCTTTTAAATTCCTTGTGAATTTGCGATATAAGCATACTTGTAATATAAGTACTTATCTACTTTCTTTCTAAGTATCGAGATATACACATGAACATCCGGTCATTGTGGCGTTCGTCAAGAAAAGGTCATATCTTGTCAAAACTTATGTAACGAAATAAGTTCTGATACTAAACAAATCATGTCAAGTCGAAGAATACGAAGGAAGAATATCAGTTTCATGTGGAAATAGTTGCTTAGTTAATTATCTCTCACATTACCGCCTTTGTAGTTAACGGCATTCGCATGCACAGAAGATTTCAAAACTTACACTAAGGCCTACGGTGGAAGGTGGATTGTCAACTATAAAATATTATTTAATTATTTAGGTATTATAAAATGTTGATAATTCTAGTCGCTCTGTAATAGCATTACAAGAAATTCATCTGCTCGTTCTCAATTCGAACTTTTATTATTTAAAATTAAGAATGTGCCGGCCTCGGCTGGCCGATACGACGAAAGTAGAGGCTGTGTTTATTTTCATTATTAATAATAAAGGCTGCGTTTATTTTCATTATTAATTTTTTCATTATTAATAATAAATATTATTCTTAATAATAATAATATTTTCATAATAATAATAATAAAGAAAAAGCTTCGTTTCCTCACCGACTTAAAATAATATTTCCTCGCTCATCTTATCATAAAAATAATGCGAAGTTCGACCACCTGTCCGTGCCTTTGTTCAGTTTACCTGTTGACTTATTTACCTTCAATAAAAGACGAAGGGTTTCCCTTTCTGCCAGCAGTCCCGTGTGATGAAATGCTTTTAGTGAGGAACTTCCTGCCAGTTTTCATCCCTTCAACGACAGTCAAAATATTTCCATGCGACCCGGAAGAAGATCCAAGCCTTCCAGGGGGAGTGAAAATCATACAGCGCTGGAAAAAGGAAAAAAAAAATTTATTGAAGGAAAATTTTGTGGATAGCAAAGGCGATTCAATCAGAAAAATTTAATGCAGTTTACTTTATATTAAAATGAACAGCGCTGTCTGAGGATGAAAATGCGTAGGAAATAAATTCTAGAAGCGAGTAATGAAGCGACGATGAATTACTAATTGTTATGTCGCTTCAACCATAACGGCCCAGTGGTTAAGTTTCAGGTATAGCAGGTTAGGGTACAGTCTTGAGAGGATATCAACCTTCAAATATACAAGCCTTATTTGTGGAAGGTTAAACGAAGTACGAAAAACATGAGCTTAGAATTAGTTTACAGGAGCTTATTTTAAAAGAGACTAAATCAAATCTAGAGGATAGAGCATCCTAATTAGAAAATCTAGCTTGCAAACTATAATAATAATAATAATAATAATGATAATAATAATAATAATAATAATAATAATAATAATAATAATAATATAATAATAATAGCGGTTTCAGCGTTTATTAGGCCGTAGGCCTGTCGCCGATTCTTAACATCGCAAAACCACAAAACTTGCAGCAATATTTTTATTAATTCAGATCTAAAGTTGATGTATTAATCAATGATATTCATGACGCTGGTTATTATTGTTTTTTTTTTGTTGTGATGATAAATTGACGAGTCTTGTCAAGCTGAGCGCGAGAAAAAAGCGCGGCCCATAGGCTCACTTCGTAGGCCTAACGAACGCTTTTGTTCCGAATTATTTTGACGGAAACGGAAAAGTTTTTCTGTAACGAAAATACGGCGAAGACCGTTGACGATAGTGGCAAGCTCTGAGCAGCGCAGGATGTGATTCATTTTTTATTATTTTTGAACGATTACATTTTTCTAATGGCATTATGAAAATAAGGTAAAAAAACTGGCATTAATTGTTGTTCTAATGGACAAAAACAGTAATTGAAAGATAAGAGGTTATACATTCTCTATCGCAATTCACCGAAGATGCACGGCATGTCCAATAATCATTGTTCAATTTGAGAATGATTTAGCCCCATTACTTTAGGCGAAGTTTAGCCCCCATACTTTAGGCTAAGTTTGAACGACAAGCGTTCCTTTTAATTTTGAATTATAGCTAAAATGATTTGCATGAATTTTAATTAGCCAATCACTTGGCCGATTTACATTACAATAACAATTTGAAATTATATTTATCAAAATTTAAATTTTTAGAGTCAATGAAATTTTTTGTGATATTGAAAAACTAAACTGAATGAAATCTATGCTAACATTGCTGATCAATTTAAAAATTTCTTGCCAATTGACTAATAAAAAACCTCTAAGGATTTCTTATAATAATAATATTATAATATAATAAGGATTTTCTTATAATTTCGCGGGCTTCTGATGGCATTACGCTGATCCGTCAGGGCTTCCAGTTCCGGACGCTCACGGCGGTCCGCACAAAACTTGTGACGTTCCATCAATGCTCGACGATGCATTCATTTGTTCGCAAAAAAAAACGACAAGAACTCAACCGCCATTTTGTACGATTGTATCGATAAAAGAATTTATCTAGGTCAAATAGGACTTATTGATCGCGACTAGGCCTTTTATCGATCCAGGGCGGCTGGATAAAACGGTTAGGTCGAATCTGCGAGCTTTTGTGCAGAGAATGACACAGTGCAGCCTCTTGGGCCGCAGGGCACCGCATTCACTCAGGCTTGGGTCGAGCTTTTCTTTGTTAATCTTGCACGCTCTAAATTATGGGCCTTGAATCATTCGAACTTTCCGCTTGAATATCGTGCTTTTGATTCAAAAATGCACTTGGAAGTACTAATAAACTGAGATCTTGAATTAGCTCTTCCTGTTCGTTAAAATATATTATGAAACATTGATTCAAAAATATATTTATTTTGAATTGATTTATTGATTGTTTTGATTTTCTCATTGAGTTTCATTGTTTCAGCGTTGATTTGAGTATCTAACGAGCGGACGTATCAAAGTTTCCTTCGTTATTTTGTTCATAACTTCATTTACACGACCTATAATATTCAGTTTAAAATAGCTGGCGATGTGCACTTATTCATTTATTTGGGAGCCCCAGCTGCAGTGTACTAACTCATCGTCATAGTTAACACTAGACCATGAAGAAGACCACCGCTGCAGTGTACTAACTCACTGTCATAGTTAACACTAGACCATTAGTATAGTATAGTATAGTATAGTATAGTATAGTATAGTATAGTATAGTATCTTCGGCATTAAAGAGTAGGCCTGGATAGGCCTGTCGCCGATTCTTGTGAAAGAAAGCCATCAAGCATTGCCGTCCGAAGACGATACGACAGCGATTTAGACATTGGAACAACAGGCTTCGATCTTGGCTCCAGCCGATCGCCGGCAATTATTTGGCCACCTTAACACCACAATCTTAATCAATGTAGCGACAGAGGGAATTTCGAGATTTGGGGCAGATAGGGAGATGATGTTAATATAGCTTGTTTTTGGTTTGCGTTCAGCATCTTTGGCCCAATGCTGGCGTTAATATGGACTTTTTGCGTAAGGAAGACAGGACTGAATATTATTTGCTCGATAATTTTTCAGGATACTTTAGACAGTTTAGAGGAACGAAACGGGAAACTGGCTGACTGCTTTATTACTGACATTATCTGAATTGATTCAAGCTGAAATCTCGTGTGTCCATCTGTAGGCTCGTGTGTCCAGCTGGAGGCTCGCGTGCCCAGCTGGAGGCTCGCGTGTCCAGCTGGAGGCTCGCGTGTCCAGCTGGAGGCTCGCATGTCCAGCTGGAGGCTCGCGTGTCCAGCTGGAGGCTCGCGTGTCCAGCTGGAGGCTCGCGTGTCCAGCTGGAGGCTCGCGTGTCCAGCTGGAGGCTCGCGTGTTATATTCATAATATATGTATGACCTTTCTATTCATCATATATGTAAGACCTTTGCGTTCATCATATTTGTCTTACCGTTGTATTCATCATATATGTGCGACCTTTGCATTGCTTTCGATGAACATGCAATCAACACATGTATGATGAATGCAAGACCACGCTTGTTCAACCAATTAGAAGCTTTCAATGACTGATGAATGCACAGTCATTAGATGAGTGAAAAATCTGAAAATATTATTCACGTAGAATAATTAGAATGCATCCATGAGTGATAAATGCAGATGAATTGACGCACGAAGAATCCATTTTATTTAAAATCAGACGGACTCATGAGGTCAAGTATATTGAAGGATGAATGTCAAAAAAATGAACGTAATGGCGTTGTGAATAAAATAGATGAATTTACCCTGCGTGTATGATGAATGGTCGATCAATGCCTGAGATGTGTAATGGAAGTGTGTGTCTGTGTTGAAGCCTGAATAATGGCAATGAGTGAGTAATGGATCAAACGTGCTGTGAATTCCTGGATTAAAGAATGTGATCTTAAATGGCCATATATATTTGCATGATTAATATAAAGGCCATATACATATAATTTTCATACATATATGAAAAAATGAAAAAGTTTTTATGAATTCGAATGACGCCAACTGCTTCGGTGACTAAAATACCTAGTCCGAAGGTAGTTTCTGTTTAATTTAAATAATACAGGTATTCCTAATCATATGATTAATAAAATTTCAATTATAATTGCTGGTCAACGAGCTTTAATTACTCTCTATCTAATATTGATTAAGCAATTATCCGTTATTTTTCCATTTGTATTAAATTCATCATAAACTAGCATTTACCCGACTCCAGTCATTTTAATTCAACTAATAAACAGAATATAATTTCGAAACTTTACCTGAAGCTCATCAATAATTAGCTGTCTATCCTAAATAAATTATGTAAATTAATGCCTCTGTAACATGGAACAATAATTGAACAGCCCTTTAAGCTAATCGATTACGATGAATCTGAGGCTTGACCGGTCTTACCAGACCAACTTGGCTGGTGGCCTTGACATGGTCTAGTATAAAAGGTCTAGACAGACCAAAGTCAGGCTCTACTTACCCACCAGACCCCTTAGCGCCGGTGCTGTTGCTGCCTAGACCACAGGCTAGACCTTACCTAGACATATCCTACCCTAGAATCTTCCTAGATTACCATGAGTAACATGAAGGTGAGTACACGTCATAGGATTGACCGAACATAACAAAATTGTCCAAAAATGAGTGAATGTTGTCATCATTTTTGATAATAACACTTCTCGCTGTTTTTTACATAAAAACAAATTTTGTTTATAAACACTGGGCGATATAGTTAACCATAACCGCGCTGTATTTCTATAATCGAACTATAATTCGTCAATTTCAAAATATGTACATTTTAAAATATATTAGCCCATCCATGATCAGTATATTTCCTAGCATTACCTACAAAATTTTTAACACAATTATTATAACGCAATTATTATATAATTATAATTATCGCCAGTGTCCTGTTAGGTCTCACAATTCCCTAAAGCACGAATTTTATAAAAGGGGAATCAAACGCAGTTAATTTTTCGGAGATATCAAAGTGGGTCTCAGGAAGTTGGGGCCATGAGTTGCTTTAGTTTAATTTGATGAAGCTTTCTTAAATTTGACTTTTCGTCAATTTTTTCAGCTCGTAACGTTGTTCTGGTCAACGATGACGTGATAACGTATACATTCAGTGTGTCCATACATTCACTGTATTCAAACATATAGTATACCCATACATACTGTGTTTCCTACAATCAGTATATACATATATACTGTATGTACTGTATATCCAAACAATCAGTGTATCCATGCATACTGTGTATTGAAACATATAGAATATCCATACATACTATGTATCCATACATGTATAGTATCCATACATACTGTGTATCCCTGCATTCTTTGTATTCAAACTTATAAAGTATCCATACATACTTTGTATCCATACATGCAATATATCCATACATACAGTTTATCAGTACATACTTTCTATCCCTAATCCTTCTTTCTGTGGCCGCCCCGCTGTAATTGAAAACATATATATTTCAATATCTCTCCAATGAATTTTATTTTAATACTCATTTCAGTAATAAACTGTCTACAATATCAACCCAGAGAAACATAAGTAACAGCTGAAGCCATTTAGTGAATACAATATTATTGCTGCTCTGCCTTCGTCGGAGCCAATACCCGCCTTAATCTTCAGGAGCTGGTTGCCAATTTTCCTCCTCTATTTCCCCAATGATTGGCCTATGATTGGCCAATGATTGGCCTATGATTGGCCTATGTTTGGCATATCATTGGCCTATGATCAGCCAATGATTGGCCTATGATTGGCTGGAGGAAATTTGTTCAACTTGGACCCAGACTTTGTATTGAGAGCAGGCGCTCTGAGGTGTGATTTACGCGCCGCTCTGACCTCGGCTATGGCCCTGAGTAACCCAGACTCATGTTACCCAGACTCATGTTACCCAGACTCATGTTACCCAGACTCATGTTACCCAGACTCATGTTACCCAGACTCATGTTACCCAGACTCATGTTACGCAGACTCATGTTACCCAGACTCATGTTACGCAGACTCATGTTACCCAGACTCATGTTACCCAGACTCATGTTACCCAGACTCATGTTGCTCAGAAACCATCAAATGAGTCAGGCAATTCTGTTGAGGTGTCTGTTGATAAAATAGGCGATGAACTGTCTGTTGATAATATAGGCGATGAACTGTCTGTTGATAATAAAGATGCAATTCTGCGCCTTCAAGTTTGCAAATCCTGCTCCTGCGCTTGCATGTTGGCGCCCAGCCTTGCGGCAAAAAAAATATACTTCTGAGAAAAAAATTGGCTGCGTGCGAGAACAGTCGCACCGACTGAGCATTTGCTCCTAATTCATATTCCTGCCGATTGTAAATTTGTATCGACATTACATTTACCTTTACCCAGACTGTACACTAGCACTGACTGTACATTAACTTTGACCGTACATTAGCACTGCCTGTACATTATCACTGCATGTACATTATCACTAACTGTACATTAGCACTGACTGCACATTATCACTGACTGTACATTAGCACTGACTGTACATTAGCACTTACTGTACATTAGCACTGACTGTGCATTAGCACTGACTGAAAATTAGCACCGTTTGTATTTGAGCACTCACTGTACAATCACACCCGCTGTACATTCTCATCGACTGTACATTCACACCAACTGAGCGTTGCTCTTCAGAGCGTTCAGGCCGCTTTAGTTCAATCCTGTAAATTCGAATTTTGGACACTTGACCGAACATTTATCAGCTCACGGAGCTGGCGATAAAACTAACTGATTTTCTTAACCCCCTCATTCCCCTTAAAAAGGTGGAAAATTGATCCCCTTCGCTGTGGGAAAGGAGATTTGACGAGGTATTCTAAATTCTCACCTCCGCATGTGAGATTCGCTCCAACACTCGCTCCGCGCAAGGGTTAATTAATTGGAGTGTTGAATCTCGCCGGTGAGAAGGGTTCACACTGCGCACCTGTCATAGGCTCAATAACTTCTGAAATGAGGTTTTCATATTGTTTTAAGTTTACTTTCAAAGCCATCAAAAAAAATAATCATCAAACCACAAGTAAAATATTGTACTCACCATCCAGAGCAGCAATAATTTCGAAGTAGCAGAATTAAATATTCAGATTTAATCATATCGATTTTAAAGGCAATGGCTGGCGTTTACAGCCAATAAAACTGAGGTCTAAATATTAAGTAAGCCACTGATTTGGTAAAACTTCATCTCAGAAAATATTAGTGATGAAATGTGCTCTCCATAAACAACACAATTTCTTTCATCAGTTAATCAGAGCCGCTGGGTCAAGGAGCTTGGTGAACGGCGTCTGCATGTGCCTGTAAATAAATTCTCTTTTAAATTTAATGTAAATTAGATCGGTTGCTTACAAGACATACAATGTCTTCCAACGCATGTCTGTTCCACTAGCGTGGCCTCCAAATTGTCGGGGCACACTTGCAATTTAAATGGCTTGCCAATTTACTCCAATAAATTTGAGCCTATACTGGCCTGCTGGATGAACCTCCTGGGGCCTAACCTTGCACGTGCTCCACGTGTCTGCCCTGACCGGCGCTACGTGTACTGAATGAGGATGTACGGTGAGCGCGGCGATATGCGCAGTGTAAGTGTAGTGTAGGTGATAGGTGAGTATGTACAATTATACACTCGAACTTAGCTATATTAATGATACCTAGAAAGTGTAGTGTAGGTGGTAGGTGAGTATAGTCACTCAAGGCTTAGCTATATTAGTGGTACCTGCAGAGTGTAGTGTAAGTGGTATATGGGTATGTACACATGCAAGAGGCTTTGTTATATTAGTGGTACCTATAAAATGTAGTGTAGGCGGTAGGTGGATATAATCACTCGAGCTTAGCTATATTAGTGGTACCTATAAAGTGTAGTGTAGGTGGTAGGTGGTAGTTACATTCAAAGCTTTGATATTTTATTGGTAAGTGTAGCGTGTATAGTGTAGGTGGTACCCTCGAGGCTCTCCCTCGAGTAGGTGATATTGTAGGTGGTACCTTCGAGGTACCCTGTACATCGGCCGTGCTGGTGATTCTGGTGCTTATATTATTGAATATTTAGGTAAGCCAGGTGTTCAGGTGGTTTGCCGACTGAATATTTTGGTGAGAACTTCCTGGTACATCGATAATACGCTTCCTAGTCCCGAATTATAATTGAATTCGTGAAATTATTTGATGTCAGAAAGTTGAATTGAATGATTTTATTTATTTCTAGTGTGGAATCATTTCTACGTTGCCTCGGTACTCGGATGAGGACTTGGAACACATTGATATTTGTACCATGCGAGCGTGCAAGCTCATCAATAAATTCACTGTAACAAAAATTGCAAAAATAGGAAGCCATTGCTTAAGAATACTTCGATATTATAGCATGGCGACGATAAAAGTAAAACAAACAAATTTAATTATTAATCATTTTGCTCGTATCCTGTCGCATTCATTTATCTTCTCTAAAGCTTCACCATTCGTATCCTGCCGCATTAATTTATCGTCTCTACAGCTTCACCGTTCGTATCCTATACCGCGTAAACCTACAGTTCCTGCAACCAAACCTTGACCGAGATCGAGATCGTCTGCTGAGCGCACTGATCTTGATCTGCTAGGTCGACAAGCAAGGCCGATCTGCAATTAAGCAATAAATTCTCGATATATTTTGTGAAGACAATTGCTGCTCGCGGCCCTCATGTTAACCAGGAACTGACCAGCCGACTGCAACACATGGTTTACTGGGGCGGTTCTCTCGTGTGCAATTATGGCCCTGGCATTAGCGAAGCTTCGACTGAGCTTGCATAGATTCATTTTCTTCCATTTTAAATGTTGTACTTTATTTTAAGAAATAAAATTAGCAACATTTTGCTGCTCAGTGCGTAATTCTGTTATTTTTTTGTAAAGTTTTTTTATTTTCCGAAAATCTATAAACTCCGACTGAGAAGCAGTCCAATTTTAACGCAAACTTCATTGGCGTTAAGTTTGGTGGTCGTTCCTATGATGAATAAAACTGATGTAAATTAGTTTATATGTTTTTAAAACAAACAGTGGGTGGCCTTGCAAGTAAAATTCATCATTTTCTCAATTATCTCATTTGACTTAGGTTATTATATAACTGTTCATGTCATTATGTTATTACTCACAATAATGCTCTCATATTGCAGTGCTCATAGCCCGCTGCCTATAGACATCTGCTCACAACAAAAATGGTTATTAAGCATGAAAATCAAGGCATTTATGGCCACACTTTTCCTGAAAGACTTTCATCGTACGCAGAAGCGTTAAAGATTAGCACTGGGACATTAAAGATATAATGATAGGATATGAGCGGAAGAGATCTAATCCCCACACATTCGAGATAGATAGTTTAATAGCTGCCCTATATATAACTCTTATCTATATTCTGTACCCTCTAATCACCCATATGCTCTGCACCCTCTAATCACCCATACTCTTCACCGTCTAAACATCCATACTCTGCACTTTCTAATCACATATACTCTGCACCGTCCAAACATCCATGCTCTGCACCCTCTAGTCACCCAAACTCTGCACCGTCCAAACATCCATGCTCTGCACCCTCTAATCACCCATACTCTGCACCGTCCAAACATCCATGCTCTGCACCCTCTAATCACCCATACTCTGCACCGTCCAAACATCCATGCTCTGCACTCTCTAATCACCCATACTCTGCACCGTCCAAACATCCATGCTCTGCACCCTCTAATCACCCATACTCTGCACCGTCCAAACATCCATGCTCTGCACCGTCTAATCACCCATACTATGTACCGTCTAAACATCCATGCTCTGCACAAGTAAAAATGTTTCACTAATGTTCTCCCCATTCACTGCTCCTGCAGGCGCTTCTGGTCTTCTCCGTAACTCTGACTGCAGTCATGGGGCTGCCAAAGCCATTCCCCAGCGGGGGATCAGCAAGCAACTCCCCAGCCATCGCTCCCCAGTTCCCCTACAACCCCCTTAACTACGTCAGGACCAAGACCGACGAGCGGGTAGATGGGGAGAGAGGCGCTTACACCTTCGACATCGAGACCGAGAACGGCATCTCCATGTCAGAGGCCGGCCAGAGCGACGACTCGGCTGAGTCCATCGTCAAGGCTGGCTCATATTCGTGAGTAAACCTAGGTCAGGGCTGGGTCGTATTCGTGAGAAAATCTTGGTCAAGGCTGGGTCATATTCGTGAGTAAACCTCGGTCAAGGCTGGGTCATATTCGTGAGGAAACCTAGGTCAAGGCTGGGTCATATTCGTGAGTAAACCTCGGTCAATGCTGGGTCATATTCGTGAGGAAACCTAGGTCAAGGCTGGCTCAAATTCGTGAGTAAACCTAGGTCAAGGCTGGCTCATATTCGTGAGTTAAACCTAGGTCAAGGCTGGGTCATATACGTGAGTACACCTAGGTCAAGGCTGGGTCATATTCGTGAGTAAACCTAGGTCAAGGCTGGGTCATATTCGTGAGCAAACCTTGGTCAAGGATGGGTCATATTCGTGAGTAAACATAGGTCAAGGCTAGGTAATATTCATGGGTATGTTTATGTCTTTATTGCAAGGTATTTCAAATTCCGTTTGACGAAAAAGTGCTCCAGAGATATCCTCAAAATATTAATTGTTCGGCGGTCTCAATAAAAAAATTAGCGTTGGCGGACGCACGCATGCACAATGCCAGGAACCAGCGGCAGTTTTTCTCTTAACTGAAAGCTTTTAAACACAATAAGTATGAAATATCCCGCATAAAAATATTTTAGTTACACGAATTCTAAATGAAATTATATAAGCTACATCCTCTACACTCCTTTCACTCCTGCCCATCCCTGGTGACAGGTTCACGCTGCCCGACGGCAACCTGTTCGAGCTGAAGTATGTGGCGGACAAGAACGGTTTTCAGCCCGAGTCTTCCTACCTGCCAGTGCCTGTAGCCTTCCCTCACCCCATCCCTCAGTTCGTGCTCGACCAGATCGAGAAGGCAGCGAGGGAAGACGCTGAGGCTGCGAGGGCAAACGCATAGCGAGGAGGCAATTGGTTAATTGTGAAGGAAATGCAATGATTTAGGTGATAATAGGATAATCGAGGAGGTAATAAGATAATTGAGGATGCGATAAGATAATTGAGGCGGTCATATAAAGAAGTATAGGTTAATTGAGAAGGAAATGCAATAATTTAGGAGATAATAGGATAATTGATGAGGTAATAAGATAATTGAGGATGCGATAAGATAATTGAAGCAGTCATACAATAATTGAGTAATGAAAAGGATTAATCAGGATGTAATAAAATAATTGAGGATACAATAGGATAATTGAAGCAGTCATACAATAATAGAGGAATCAATAGGATAATTGAAGGGCCATATAATAATTGAAGCGTACAAAGTTATGTGCCCACCATGACGTTGGACTAACCGGTTGATGCATATCTACGAACAAAACTCCAAAAGCTAGCCCAACATTCAAGTTCAATAAATCCTTCCTCATAAGAATCGTAAGTTATTACGACTGAGAATGTAAAGAACGTTCCGAATTGTGTTTCATTTTTTGGATAAAATTGATTTTGGAGTGCAATTTAATATTAAAAATATTCTGAAATGTCAACTCACTTTGCATCGATAAATTTTAAATCCAAAGTTAACGGTTCCTAAAGGTTCATATTCTACTGCTTTATTTAATCATTTATCAGAATAAAGAATGAAATAAATGAAATGTAGAATAATGAGATCTGTAAACATGCCAAACTCGCAGAAGTTTTCTGCATGTTGCGATAAATTAGTTACAATCATGAGATGCTGGTTGATAGCAGACTACTTTCAAACAACATACGATCTCTTCAACACTTTCAAACAACATGCGATCCCTTCAACACTTTCAAACAACATGCGATCCCTTCAACACTTTCAAACATTCAAACAATATGCGATCCCTTCAACACTTTCAAACAATATGCGATCCTTTCAAGACTTTCAAATAACATGTGGTCCCTTCAACACTTTCAAACAAAATGCGATCCCTTCAATACTTTCAAACAACATGTGGTCCCTTCAACACTTTCAAACAACATGTGGTCCCTTCAACACTTTCAAACAACATGTGATCCCTTCAACACTTTCAAACAACATGTGATCTCTCCAACACTTTCAAACAACAAGCGATCCCTTCAACACTTTCAAACAACATGCTATCCCTTCAACACTTTCAAACAACATGCGATCCCTTCAACACTTTCAAACAACATGTGATCCCTTCAACACTTTCAAACAACATGCGATCCTTTCAACACTTTCAAACAACATGCGATCCCTTCAACACTTTCAAACAACATGTGACCCCTTCAACACTTTCAAACAACATGTGATCCTTTCAACACTTTCAAACAACATGCGAACCCTTCTCATCGGCAGATTTTGTATTGCGATCGCAGATCGATCATTTAAAAAATACGATCGCATTTTCGAGTCGCTGACTGCAAAAATTACCTTAACCTAATAGTTATTTATTCCAGCAGTAATGTTAAGTTTTGTAACCATTTAAATCTTTTTATGTTTTTATTAATAACTCTGTGCATAGTATTAAAACAATATTATTTAACCCTTGACAATTACTAAATACATATTTTAAACGAATTAATCTTTTCATTATTTACCAGCCTTTTTTAGGAAAACTGACTTTCCTGATCAATAAGTAGTCGTAATGACTGGTAAGAACTGGTCAGATATAAGACTAATTTGAAGTATTTATGATTGGTCAGAGATAAGTAAAAGCCGTTAAGTTTCGAGTAGTGAAACTTAAAAAATTAAATTCGCCCTCCGACACTTGAGCCTCCACCGTTATATAGAATTACTATAATCTTTTTATCACAAGACTTAGGTACAATATCGACGAAGTGACCTTTTTCCCCTACCTTACCATGTTCTTGTTCACCTTCATCTGCAAGAAAGTTCTGGTAGGAATAACATTGCAAAAACCACACACTGGCACTTCAGGTAGGCAGACCAGAGCAAGAAGTGCGCCAGTTCTGGGCAGTAAAGACGTAATCTGAAGGCGATCACAGCGCCCCTGGGATGGTGGCGGCCTCTGATCGGCTGGGGCGTGGCAGTCAAGCGATGCATCCCCGCCACGTGGGAAACTTTTAAAACTTAGAACAATTATACGATCGAACCATTCAATGATAGAGCAATTAAACGATAGAGCAATTTAACGATAAGGCAATTACACGATAAGGCGATTACACGATAGGGCAATTACAGGATAGGGTAATTAAAAGATATGACAATTAAACGATAGGGCAATTAAGCGATAAGACAATTTCAAGATTGAGCGATAAAAATAAGCGATAAAACCATTGTATGATGAGAAATTAAAAAAAAACAATTACGCGATAAGGCAATTAAACGATGGGGGCAATCACGCGATAGGGCAATTAAATGATAGAGCGATAAAACTCTAGAGCAAATAAGCGATAGAACAATTGGATGATAAAAAATTTAAAGAAAGAGCAATTAAATGATAGAAAAATTCACACCAACAAGTAGGTCTGGATTACAGCTTTAGTGTTCAAATAAAAATATACAGGAATTTGTTGTAATGCCTTTCATGTACAGCATTTAGAGCTTGGATACACAAGAAAAAAGTATGATCTTATCATACAGACGTGTACTTGCTCAGAATCTTTGAATTCTTCCTGCCTGTTTTTTTCCCGTTTGCAGAACTAGTATTCACCTCTGCATAAAATGCAATGATCATTTATTTAAACTTTGATGTGAATAAATAAATATTTTGCGATATCAATCTGCGCGTCTCAATAGTTTATTGGTTGATTTTGCTTTGTTATAGGCAGGAGAAGGGTTGCTATTTAACTTGATCGACGAGTTTAATTAGGTTTAATTAAGTTTATCGATATAGCGTTGAATTTTGTTTAATATGATTCTTTGTGTTTATACGTTGAATTTCTTATTAACTTGTGATGGTTTTATATTTTAGAATAATTACTTCAAACTCTTCCGGGATAGCCAGAGAACTGAATAACAAAGTCGAGTATAAATTAATTATGAGCCTACCTAATAAATTAGGAGCCAGTCAATTATTCAAACAATGAAGTGACTGCCCTGGAGGGTAGCATGCCACAGCCCTGGAGGGTAGTATGCCACAGTCCTGGAACGTAGCATGCCACAGTCCTGGAGGGTAGTATGCCACAGCATGAAGGGTAGTGTTGCCGGCGCGTGGATGCGGGTGGGGTCAGAAGGACCCACTTTATGCGTCTCTGGCAACCTTGTAACTACAGTGGTTGATGGAGTAAAATGAAACAGCAGCAAATACCAGTAGACTGAATTATGTATCGTCCATAAACACACAATTTAGCAAGTGGCAAGGTTCTAGATGTACCGAAGTAACCGAACAATGGTCAAGACAACTAATAGACAGCTCAGATGGTTAGGTATAGCCTAGGGTGGATATTGAAGAGTAAGCTAGGTATAGCTTAGATGCAAACCAAGAATGAGGTACTGAATAAACTACTACTGTCTCTTATACACATCTAGATGTGTATAAGAGACAGGGGTAACATGCCATAGCTCCTAAAGTGTAGCATGCCACAGCCACGAAGGGTAACATGCCACAGCTCCTAAAGTGTAGCATGCCACAGCCACGAAGGGTAACATGCCACGCGCATCAGCTATGATCTAGCGAGACCCAAGGTGCTAAGTTTGCTATTTTAAATAAAAAAAATATTTTACGACGATAATATATTTTCTACGCTGATCATACAAATAAATCATTGACGTTGTCATGACGTTCAGAGTGCTCGCTATATGCAGATCATAGATCGCTTCAATTCATGTCAGGATAAAAATATTAAAAATCTATTCGAAAACTTAAATCTTTACAGTTCTCCATCAAAATCACACTGTCAGTTTCTATTATTGATTTGTAATTTTTGCCACAACGTAGCCTTCAGAAAAAACTAAATCGTTAAATGCTGACTCTCAACTGGATGCGGTAGACGGCAGCGATCGTTGGCAACAGTTTTCTTAATGGATTTATTTTTCAGAGAGACGTAAAACATGTACAAAAATTCAAGAAAGTCTTTTTAGTTAGTAATGAACTGGCATATTTCAACACGAGAACATTTAATTAGACATTCATTTAAATTCAGTTACATTATTGATTCCTATGCAGTAGTCAAACCTGAAAGCGCAGTTGCTGCTGGTAGCGTTTTCTTAGCGAGCAAAAGTTACTTGCAGAAAACTTTCTATGGTAAACTATTCAATACCATGGGAAATGATTTATGATAGATTTAAACCAGATTTTTACATTTATTCAGACGAGACTTTTCAAACGATTATATTTCGGGAACAGCAGATGGCTGAGCTATTTATCTGAAAATAAACCCCAATTCCATTTTTCCAGCCACCTTATTTGATGTGTAAGAAACAATTATTTCCTTGAACAAGACGACCTCTGTCAACTCCCTCAGCACGCTGCACCGCAACCGACTGGATATTTAAGCTTCTACACCGCGCCATTGTGGGGAAAAGCTCTGTTAGCGCTAACTCTGCTACACCGCGCCATTGTGGGGAAAAGCTCTGTTATGGGAAGAACTCTGTTACATTTCCTCTGTTGTGTCACAGTAAAGGCCCGTTTACACTAGTGGCAACGACATGCGCTTTGAGTCGTTTGCTGCAGTGCCTCACCGCGCACAACCGTTTACACTACTTTTGTACTCGGTTGTTTGGGACCGCGCGCTTTGAACACTAGTTGCCACCTAGACGTCAATGACGATGGAAGTCACCGAATTTGAGCTTTGGGCCATTGTTCTCGGGTGTGTTGCGGTCCGCCATTCTGCGCACTATGCCATTTGTAAACGAGAACTCAGCATAGGCATCATAATTAGAGAAGTAGCACATTCAAAAACATACAGTTTATAAAAAATATAGTCTATTCTTAAATAAAAAGCTCCAATATTCGTACCGATATTACATCATCCTTTGAAATCGCTAAACGGTAATGCATAAATTGCCAGGAGTTGCTAAAATCACATAAACTAAGCACGTCATGTAAAAATAACTTACTTCATTTGTATTTCGATTTTTGGACTCCTTTGACCGAACACTCCATAGACATTCATGTTCTCTATAAAGTTCAATTAGGCTCTCTACTAGAGAGTGACTCCAAACGAGAGTGGTGCTTAGTCGACATTTGGAGTGCCGGACCAGCGTACACAATCAACCTTACTAGACCACAGACATCTATCTACTAACTAAGAATTTAAAAAAAAGAATAGTCCACAAAAATTCATATCTTTATAGAAAACGTTTCGGAGACCAGCTCCATAGTCAGTTCGTAGAATCTAGAATAATAAATTAATACATTGAAACCATAGAACGAATTGAATTTCTTTAATTGATCAATTTAGATTTTCAATTTGATTTAAATTTTTATTTCAATTTAAATTCTTAGTTAATTTGCGATTTAAGCATACAAGTGATATCAATTCTTTAATAGCTATCTACTAAGCGCCGCGCTTGTGTTGCATGAGGCATGGCCCCTGTCAATCGCTAGCTCGTCAATCGGTCAAGAAGCGCATGCAGAGGCTGCAAAGCGCCTCTGCATGCGCTTTGAGGCACTTTATTCTCGTGTGTTGCCCCTAGTGTAAACGGGCCTTAACGCGACCTGATCGCCCAACAGCACCACCACTCCTTTACTGTTCGGCGATATGAACGGCGCTTCTGTTCAATGAAATCGTGACGTCATTCACTGTTGGTATATCAGGTAATCGCGTTGCGATTGTTTGGTGTGACAGATCCAACTCTCTACGATACTAGATCACTTTAGCGGTATAGCAATACTGAAAATAAGATTTCAGCTATACTGATAAGATGAATTTTTTGAAACATGGCCTCAGAGCTGTCACGATCGCTGACGGAAATGAAGCCTAATTTAGCCTTCGCTACTCGTTCTGTCCCAAAAAAATAGACAATTATTGGTTATTGTAGCCATAGATTAAGGTGAAATTAACTTGAATGCTTGAATGCTGGAACAGAGGATAAAATGAACGATGTAATCCCTTTCAAATGAATAAGAATAATTCACGCAAGTATTTCGATTTTTGAAATGATTGTTGTATTTTTGGCTTGTCTCTTATCGTTTAGGCCTATTAACAACAAGCAGCTTACTCTGGCGCTGCATAATAGTGCCTAAAGATAATTATTGCAATTTTAGAATCCAGTTAATAACTTATATATGTTCAGTCTTAAAATGCCCAGCAAATTACGGACCAGGCAATAAGTCCAGACGAAGCTATGCAGGAGTATATGTTCAGTCTTAAAATGCCCAGCAAATTACGGACCAGGCAATAAGTCCAGCAGCTATCTCAGTCAATCGTCAGCTATGGAAAGATCGGGTTCCAAAGGTCGGATCCCTTGTGAATCAAGTCACGAAAAGTTCAAGAATCGGCAACAGGCCATGGGCCTATTTCTTCAACGCCGACACTTCTATTCTATAAGAGTAAAACTAATGTATACAAGTGATGAAGGACTCGTATAAACCTACATTTCCTATTGTACATGGAACACACTTCCACTTTTCTCAACTTTTTATTTCTCCTCTAAATAGAATTCACATCTACCAATTTCCAAAAATATATATATACAATATAATTCAATTCATGACGTGAGTAATAATATGGAAAGGAAACAAAATTATAAAAGTTGTGTCATTTTATCTCCTAATCAATCACTTCAGAAATTACGGTCGAGACAGCATGGTAATTTTTTTAGAGATTGTTGATAACGAAATTATTTCATCAATCAATGACACATCGAGTGTGATTAATAATTATTGTTCATATGTATAAGGGGCTTTATATACATATATAGGGGACTATTCATATATGTACGTATATCAGAGGCTTGATATATATAAGGGGGCTAGTGCCTAGTGATATATAAGGGGCTTGATATATTTATATAAGGGGGCCAGTGATATATTGATATATATAAGGGGCTTCATATATATAAGGAGGCCATTCATATCGGGGTATCACCAGGCAATACAAGTTTAGTTTAGCAGTTCGAGACATTGTAAAATGGAGGTTGGTGAAGGTAGAGTTACATTAAAGAGTTTAAATGTATTTTTTTATTTGATCATGTGTAAATTTTGTTCCATAGCATAAACTTTAATTCTCATGAAAATTAAAACCCTCGACGTACATCAATAATAGATCCGCATTTAATTTTTATCTGACATGATTCATGCTTACATGATTCATGCTAATATGACTCATGCTGACATGATTCATGTTAATATGATACATGCTGACATGATTCATGCTAATATGACTCATGCTGACATGTCATGCTGACATGATTCATGCTAATACGATTCATGCTGACATGATTCATGCTGACATGATTCATGCTAATACGATTCATGCTGACATGATTCATGCTGACATGATTCATGCTAATATGACTCATGCTGACATGATTCATGTTAATATGATACATGCTAACATGCTGCGAGGTAACAGGCTTGTAAATATTAATATGCAGGTATTATCCATCACGAGCAAGCCTGCTTCTAATTATGTAGTCTAATAATTATTATTAATTATTAATTAATTAATTAATTGATTAATTATTAATTATTAATTATGTCTAATTCTAATTATGTAATTTCTAACTCCACAAGTAGTTTCTCCATCAACCTAATTCTTTAGTCTGACGAGGTATAACCACCACGGAAAAAGTAAATCAAACAAAAATTTTATAGAGATTATTTATTATGTAAAGAAGCTCACCAGCTCAATACGCAATTTTTATCCTAAAACAGAAACATTTGACAAAAATGTAACAAATTTCCACACATATTCTAACATCCTAAAATTGCCATACAATTCTTTGAAAAATCTTCGTCGTAAGGGATATTTTACAATAGCAGTAAATTAAAATTGATTGTCTTTTAATTCAAATTTTTGAAAGAACGTTTCCAGGAAACAGCTTGATAATAAACTTATTTTCAATATTTATAATCAAATAAACTTTCGTTCAGCTCACAACCACTGAACATTCACTGCAATTAAACAGGCTTAGTTCCTCCCACAATTATAACAGATGCGCAGATCTAAAAATATCCTTCATCCACCTATCTCTATCTCATCTCCTTATTTCTTCATCCATCATCTCCTACTCCTTCCCTAGCTATATATCTCTCCGATAGATATCCTATATATTCCCCTATATAGCGATAGTTCCATAGTTTCTCCCTAGCTACTGGATATCCTATCTCTCGCAATATATATCCTATATATTCCTATTTGCTATTTCCTCCCTAAACCCATTCTATCTCTCCTATATCTCTCTACTCTTCTTCATATATTTCAATACGCTGCATCGTATTTCATGTCCTAATTACAGCGCTATATTCAGTTCCTATATTCACCGCTCTGCTCAGCTCGACGCCTAGCGGCCTCAGCTCGCTCTCGCTCAGCTCGCTCGATTTGCCTGAGCGAGTGCGGGGGGATTGGGTGGGGAAAAGCTGGCACTTGGGGCAGGAAGGGGGACTCGACTTTGTACCCCGTGGCGTCGGCCACGAACTTGAGGAAGAACGTCTCCCCGTTGGGCATCGGGTAGCTGCGGGCATAAGGAAGTGAGTCATGGGTAGCTGCGGGCATAGAAAAGTGGGTCATGGGTAGCTGCGGGCATAGAAAAGTGAGTCATGGGTAGCTGTGGGCATGGAAAAGTGAGTCATGGGTAGCTGCGGGCATAGAAAAGTGAGTCACGGGTAGCTGTGGGCATAGAAAAGTGAGTCATGGGTAGCTGCGGGCATAGAAAAGTGAGTCATGGGTAGCTGCGGGCATAGAAAAGTGAGTCATGGGTAGCTGCGGGCATAGAAAAGTGAGTCATGGGTAGCTGTGGGCATAGAAAAGTGAGTCATGGGTAGCTGCGGGCATAGAAAAGTGGGTCATGGTAGCTGTGGGCATATAAAAGTGAGTCATGGTAGCTGTGGGCATATAAAAGTGAGTCACGGGTAGCTGCGGGCATAGAAAAGTGAGTCAAGGGTGGCTGCGGGCATAGAAAAGTGAGTCACGGGTAGCTGTGGGCATAGAAACGTGAGTCATGGGTAGCTGAAGGCACATATAAACGCGCATTAATAACGAGCGACCCCTCGTTAATACCGACTGATGTGAGAATAGTGAGGATAATAAGGATAGTGAGGGTAGTTTAATAAACACTTAATTTTCTGCGGGAGGGTAGAAATCAAGTCATGCAATTAATAAGACAGGGTAGTCACAGGTTAATTAGTCAGTTAAGAAATTTCATTATAAGATATGAGGAGGGAAAAATTAGTTACTTACTAGAAGCATGTTTGTTTATACGTAAACGTGTTACTACATCACACGAGGATTGACATAGAGTATAATATTATAATACAATGTTATAAAATTCATCAGATGATTTATTATCAAATATTTATTCTAAAATTCATTCTCATTATTAAATTCATTATTTGTGAATTCAAAATTATTTTGATTTATAAAATTTAAATTAATTCAAAATTTAATTTACTATAACTTTGAGTTGTTACTAAAGAACTTTAAAAATATCCCATTTCTCGATATACTGGGCAAACCTAATATTAACATTTTGCAAAAATTTGTACTTAACAACCACTATCTAACTTCTAATATCGGCATTCACCTGAACCCGGTATGAAATATCAGACAAAAGCATTTTTTATAATTACTAAAAACTTTAAAATCTCGCATTTTTTATGTTTGAAAATCTTCATTAAAACTACTTTGTATTATTATTACAACACTTCTCTTTAACTTCACTTCTTGTTTGTCTGTCTGTCTGTCTGTCTGCTACAAATCTTGTAATCGAAATTTAACACACTTCTACTTATCCTATCGATCTGAAATTTTGCATACTTGTTTAAAGTTGGAGACAATGAATGAATCAAATGTCACAATAAATGATTTTAAAAATTAAAATTTTTTTTTTAATATTAAAAAAATTGAAAAAAAAATTTTGTCATCTACAAACCTTAAACTGATATTTGACACACTTTTACCTGTCTAATTGATTTGAAATTTTGCACACTTGTGCGAAGTCAGAGGCAATGCATGAATCAATTAACAGAATAAATAATTTAAAAAAAATTATATATAAAAAAATTATATATATTAAAAAATTTGAAAAGTTGCTTTTTTTAATTTTCGAAAATTATATAAGAAATTCATTGTACATCTGTAAGATTGGAGATACTGGATTCTTTGGAAGTGTTGTCTTTAAAAAGTAATTTTTAAACATATATTATTACTACATATAAACTATTACATATAAACTTTTATTCAGTGAATTATTTCATGTTTCTTCCGCCCACCTGATGATGCCGGTGCGCACGAGATGCTCGTTGCCGGCTTCCTCTCTCACGATGCCGTTCTCCGTCTTAAAATCAAAACTGAAAATCCCATTTTCGGGATAAATTCTGTTGTCCTCGATGATCCGGAAATGGGCCGGAATCACCGGCTTCTGGTCCGCAACTGAAGAGCAAACAATCCCGGCCAGGACGGCAACCAGCAACTGTGAACAAACACAAACATCGAACTCAAACAGTGGCTAGGAGCAACCATCTGGTCACTAGTGATGCAGTGGCTAGGAGCAACCATCTGGGCACTAGAGATGCAGTGGCTAGGAGCAATCATCTGGGCACTAGTGATGCAGGGGCTAGGAGCAACCATCTGGGCACAAGAGAACAGGGCGGTGATGCAGGGGCTAGGAGCAACCATCTGGGCACTAGAGAATAAGGCGGTGATGCAGGGGCTAGGAGCAACCATCTGGGCACTAGAGAACAAGGCGGTGATGCAGGGGCTAGGAACAACCATCTGAGCACTAGAGAACAAGGCGGTGATGCAGGGGCTTGGAGCCATCTGAGCACTAGAGAACAAGGCGGTGATGCAGGGGCTAGGAACAACCATCTGGGCACTAGAGAACAGGGCGGTGATGCAGGGGCTTGGAACAACCATCTGGGCACTAGAGAACAGGGCGGTGATGCAGGGGCTTGGAACAACCATCTGGGCACTAGAGAACAGGGCGGTGATGCAGGGGCTTGGAACAACCATCTGGGCACTAGAGAACAGGGCGGTGATGCAGGGGCTTGGAACAACCATCTGGGCACTAGAGAACAGGGCGGTGATGCAGGGGCTTGGAACAACCATCTGGGCACTAGAGAACAGGGCGGTGATGCAGGGGCTAGGAACAACCATCTGGGCACTAGAGAACAGGGAAATGATGCTGGGCAAACATCTGGGTAACCGTATCGTGCAGCTCCTACGTCTATCGGTTTTGTGCTCCTAATGGCACGAACTTGGTAAGAGCAATTGCTGCAGATATCATAACATAAAAAGCAAAATGTATTTAATGCATATCTCTTCACTGCACGTAATATTCCATGCAGAGCTCATCGCCGTGCTGGTTTTATTCCCATGACTATTAACAATCACTGCCTGTATATAATCAACGATATCAATGCCTATATATAATCAACATTCTGCCCTGCTAAAAAACGTAGGAAAATTATGATCGTTTCAATTTGCTTCCTCATAAAACTATTAGTTTCTTATTTTATCTAAATTTTGTACAATTATTCACCGTGATGTTTGTACAAGAGTTCCAGTGTAATTTTCTCTCTTCAGTTTATTATGTTCATCAAATGAATATTCTGGAATATTCACTGAACATTAATCATGCACGATGCCACGACGCCTCCTTCATAAAATGTGGCTCCTGTATAAGCAAGGTGAGCGTCAGTGCGGACCCAATGACCCCGACCGAGTGACCTCAAACAGTTAACCTCAATGTCGTTACGTGACCTTTTGAGGTCAAATTTAGGCAAATTCCGCATGGAAATATAACGTCGTCCAAATCATGTATATTTCATTAGGAATTTTGATCCATTCTGCTATGAGGTAAATAAACTCAGAGTTTAATGAGACATGATTGTTAAAGTAATCAGCTTGTTTTCGATTAATTTGTTTTGATTAACGTTCAAGAATTTTTATACACAAACGGTTGACTGCTGGTAAGAAATTGCATTTTTGGTGTTCTCACTTGAACGATTTTCCTAATATATTTTTCTTCCTTTTCCATTTTTGCTATATTGTATCTGAGTGCGTTAGAAATCATGTTAAATTGTTAAATATGAAACTGAGTAAACAATAATAATGCGGTTACTTGCCCAATAATGCAAACTTCTGATTATAAAGAAAATTGTCGTTAATATTAAGTCTAAACAATTTATTCTTTAAACTTATTTATTTTATAATCGGGAATATTTTAATTTTCTCGTTGCTAACAAAAACTTTTCTTCTCCCTTAAAACACGGAAAATTCCAGTATAAATTACACGAAGAAAAAGCGCATATAATATAAAATTAATTTGCTTGTTACAGCTCGATATGAGCCTCAGCAAAGCCAAACACTACAGGATGACCCGCGCATATTATCCGCGGCAAACACGCTAGGTTTGTCCCACTTGTCGCGGGTGGAGGCTCCAGTGTTGCCATATTGGCGAGGGCTTCCTCGATCTCGGACACGCGATGTGGCAACGCCCCCTGAACCCCCATGTAGGGGTGGGGGGCAGGGGGCGAGACCCCCCGCAGAGAGTTAATCGTACGCGGAAGAACTTTTATAGCTCACAGTTTACGGGGACAAATTATACAGCTGGCAGAGAGGGAATAGAGAGAAGGAGAGCTTTAATTCATGTACAGAGAGAGCAGCGATTGAGGGGAGAGGGGAAGAGATGATCTGAGCTTCTCTTTCATGTCATCTGAATATATGAGTCTCTCACATGAAAGTTCATTTAGATTAAATACAGATTAGGAAAAAATTATCCTTAGAGACTGACACAGCCTGTAGGTAATAACCCTTGAAGACTTAAACGGCCTGTAGGTAATGATCCTGGGAGACTTCAACGGCCTGTAAGTAATGATCCTGGGAGACTTCAACGGCCTGTAGGTAATAATCCTGGGGCACTTGAACGTCTCCTAAATTATGCGGTCCATGAAGGTTTCAATATAAAAGATATTCTGTCCCGTGGTCTCTCAGAGGCTGCATATGGAGTGACTGCATTAATTTATGCAAGCAAAAGGCCACAGCAATCAGGCTCTGTACAATCAACTCGCACTTTTGTCCTCCCAACCCATACTGATGAATGAATGAATTGACAAACTGAAAATAAAAAGCGAAATCATGTGTGCCCTTTACAATTTATTCCTGCTTAAAAATTCTGCTAAACATCAATAGACAATTATAAGCTCAATTAAAAGAACAATATTCCTGAGAAATGCTCAATATTTTCACAAATAAAACACGACAAAATTTTACCTAAAACACATTATTTTTTCGAAATCAAAGAATACATGCACGAAGCATCACAAATTACCACAAAACAGAACATTTTTCTCAAAACACTCTACCATTGCTAAGCACATAGCATTTTTGCACAAAGACCACACTTTCAACACAACACACGCACAATCTATACACAAATGCCAGTATCTTGCTTTACCGCATTGCATCTTTCCTCAAGTACAATATTTTATTGATCAATGCACATGATTTTTGTATAGAACTCAACGATCTTGCTAGGAACATAAACTTTTTGTATATTGCACAATATTTCAGCAAAATCACTGTTTTTTGCACAAAGCAAAGCGTTTTTTAACAAAGCTCTTAATTCTTTTGCACAAATCGCATCATTTTTGCACTAAGACCAACAATTTTTGCGCTAAGACCAACAATTTTTGCATTAAGCCCAACAATTTTGCACTAAGCCCAACAATTTTTGCAAAAAGCCCAACAATTTTTGCACGAAGCCCAACAATTTTTGCACGAAGCCCAACAATTTTTGCACTAAGCCCAACAATTTTTGAATCAAGCCCAGCAATTTTTGCACTAAGACCAAAAATTTTTGCACTAAGCTCTACAATTTTTGCACAAGCTCAACAATTTTTGCACTAAGCTTAACAATTTTTGCACTAAGCCCAACAATCTTTGTACAAAGCAAAACTTTAGAATCAGAAAAAAAAACTACCCATACGAAGAGTTCAGCACTTCTTGTAGTGCTTTTTGTATGGGCTGACGAGAGGGACATTCTGGCCATCACTTCCCTTCGGACCATCCATTTATATTATTATTATCAATATACTTATTATTGTTATTTTTTTACTATCATATCATAATTAGTATAATCAAAAATATTACTATATTATCAACATTGTTATTAATATTATTTTTATTACTATCATTAATATTATTATTATTATTATCATTATCATAATTATTATTATTATAATTATTGTTATCCTATTACTTTTATTATAAATATTAAAAATATTATTATTAATATCAATATTGTTATTATTATTACTAATTATTAATTATTATTATTATTCATATGCCCGCTGTTTTACTGATAATCACCTAAGACATGATAAGAAAAAATGCGTGAGGCTGGAGACGAGCAAATAATTTGTTTAACACACGCTTAAAATGAATCAGTTATTCACATTTCTTACACATTTCCTCAAAAAAAAACAACTGATTGCTGATAATAAAAACGATATCGCAATGCACTCACCATCTTCATTTTGTAGCGCTGTTTTTCTTTGCTTTTAATGGAACAAAAATCTAAGCAGGCGGTGACTTCTCCTTCTATTATTATGTACGCTGTTCTCTTCTCACTTCTCTTCTTTTTCTTCTGGGAAATGTATTTGTCACTAATTAAATATAAAGCTCTTCGTGCTTAAAAGTTCGGCTCTTCTTTATCCTCTATTTGAGCCGATATAATATTATAAAAAGCTATGGGGAGGACAAAGAATTAGACAGAAATTAGTTTTCCAAATCAGCATTTGAATCGTTCCTCTTTTATTTGAAGAATTATTGTTACCTATTAAATTAATACATATAAAAAAGTAACATTAGATCTATCAATAATTAAAATACCATGTACAACAAAATGCAAAATAAATTTGACATCTTTTTGCACCAGCAACTACATTAAGGAAGATGAATGCATTACACGCTTCTCTATAAAGACTATGTCATTAGCGTGCAAATTAAAATTCTTAACTTTCGCCGAAAAATCTTCAATAAAATGTTTTTATTGAAGATTTTTAATTTTTTATTGATTTATTTTTATCTTTTTATTGAATCTTAATTTCTCAGGAACATAATGATCACGTTCAACTGATATTATGTTAGTGAAGAAGAGGATTTCAAAAGCGAAAGGTTGGCAGCCGATCGAGGCACCAACGCGTCTTCCATGCGACCCGCCCATGACTCAGCAACTTTCATCGATACCTGTTACCTGCTGCCATCATCACCACTTCCAATTAAAGCCATTTAACCTCCACGCATTTTAAAGCCATTGAGGACTTCTACAGACACAACCCTGACTGATAAGGAGTATCTTATTAAAGTTCTAAAGCTTTGTCAGCAATGTATCTAACTGTTAAGAATTTTTATTATATTACAGTTCTAAGGGCTTTTCAGCAATATTAAATATTATAAATATTACAGTCCTGTAGCACTTTATTTCTGTTCCAAATGCTTATCCCTGACTGTTAAGTAGTATCTTATTAAAGTTCTAGGGGCTTTTGAGGTGATTGCGACTACTGTCAAGTAGCATCTTATTACAGTTCTAAAGGCTTTTGCTTCAATATCCCAAATTGGTGATTGGTACCTTACTATATTTCTTAGAACTTTTGTCGCAATATCTCTAACTGTTATGTAGCATCTATTAAAAGATCTCCTAAGGCCTTCAATGAAGGCTAAGTAGCACTTAATTAAGGCATTAATGGCTAGCAGCGATGTCAGTGCTCACTAGCTCCTAATAAAGGCTTAATGGACTTCTTAAGAACGCCCCTGACTGTTGAGTGGCGCTATATTGGCTGCGATGAATAGGATTCCTATAACCATGAATACAGTAAAGACTCCAGCACAGCAATTGTCTAATGGAAATTGTCTCATGGAAATTGACACATGGAAATTGACACATGGCAATTGACTCACAGCAATTGACACACAGCAATTGACTCCCAGCAATTGATACCCAGCAATTGACTCACAGCAATTGACTCACAGCAATTGACTCCCAGCAATTGACTTACAGCAATTGACTCACAGCAATTGACTCACAGCAATTGACTCACAGCAATTGACTCACAGTTCTTCATCTCCGCCTTAAGGAAATGCATTACAGAGAAGAGCCCCGAGTGTACTGACCAAGCTTTATTAGAAGATTTTTGCGGCCAAATGAGGAAGCTTGGAAATTACTGTACGATGACAATTTATAAGACGTGAGCCGATCAACGTAAGCAAGATGATTCAAGAGCAACATCACATTCCATGATCGAGTAGCCGTCTACTCAACAACATTCAACACTTCAACATTCAACACTTACTTCAACATTCAACACTTCAACATTGATTATTAGACATTGATATACTGTGCATGTTAAGCAGTTCACGCGCATGATATACTGTGCATGCTATACTCTACCTAATATACTGAAATAATGTATCGTATATTAAATTCGAACCGCAAAGATGCTGTTTGTACCTGTACGTATGTATAAGCTGTTTGTATAGGCTGTTTCAAAACATTTTCATTAAAGAAAACGAACGGCGCCAAACTTTCCAAAAAGGATGCCAAACTCTCCTTTTTTCTAAGAAAACAATCACGGGTGTTTTGCCCTTTAAAAAGTGCTTACTATTTTTTAAAATGATTTTGACGCAAAAACAAAATTTCCATTAATTAATTCTCTAAATTTCTTCGCAGCAGTCGACTTCACAGTTTCATTTGGTAATACGCCGCTTAAATAATTAATAAGACGTTATAAGGAATGTGAACAATTTGTTAAATAAATTGTAAAATAAATTGTAAATAAATTGTTAAATAAATTTTAATCTGTTAAATAAATTGTAAAATAAAAAATTGTTAAATAATTGTAAATAGATTGTAATTTGTTAAATAAATTGTAATAAATAAATTGCACCATCAATGGTCGCTCATTGATGATGCATCATAACGATAAAGCGAGCCGGATGTTCAGATGAAGTTTTTCCGCTACAGTTTTATAGAATCTTTGAAAATGCTCAAGAGAATAAATAGCATAACAAATAAATGACATAACATAACAAATGTTTTGTGAATTAATAACATTTATTCTCATGTGGGGAAGACACTGATATTAATCAAATGGATCTATAAACGTTATTGATAATTAGATTGAAAATCGTTTTTATCACTTATGCTAATAATAAGTCTTAAATTTAGGTCTAATTTGCCTTGTTCGGTGCAATGACAAATAATATGGTAGAAACTAAAGAAGTATTAAGGGCGCAGTCATTTAGGGTGCCAAAAACTTTGACTATACGTACTTTGCATTTCCAGTCAACGACATTCATTTATGAACTAGCAAATCAGCCAGACGTTGCATGAGATCAATACAAATTGCCGTTTTAAAATATTCCTTTCACGTTATTAATTGTATAAGAAATTGTTATAACTAATTTTAGAAGAATGCACAATACGAGCCCGTCCAAACCCACATTTTACCTACAGCTTACATTTGACTCTCCTTTCAAATTATTACAAAATTAAATTCGTAATTCGTTCCTACCAATTTGCAAACAAAATTAAGATTCTCAAGGCAATGCTTGCTTCCCATTTTTACAATGCCCTAAAATTAAGATTCTCAAGGCAATGCTTGCTTCCCATTTTTACAATGCCCTAATATTTTAAAATAAGATGATGAATAAAATTATACGAATAATTGTTCAGCTCCATAAACTAGCTGATAAGGTACGTAATATATCTAGAGAATGGATCGTAATAACATTTAATTGAACCGCCGCAGTGCCATATATCACATGGAGACAGGACGAGTCATTTAAATTAATATCATATAAATAAATATTACGAAGAAATAACTATAACTTCAAAATAAATATTAAGGAGAAATCAGGGCTTAGAATTACTAATAAAATTTCAAATTAAAATTATTGTTTAAGTCACTGCCGTGTGGAGAACCGCACGCGGGGGGTCGCGGGGGCAGAATCCTGCAAGGAAAGTGTTTGCCCCGAGCTTATATAGCGGGTCAGTGCGTGGCACGTTGCCACGGGGGGAGGGTGTGTGTGTGCCGCTTGCTCCTCTCGGATGCCATTCCAGCGAGAGGCAAGGTCAGCTGGAGCACCCACACCTTCAGCAGCTGGCATGGCTCCAGCAGCGCGCCCCTTTGCTTTCTTTGTTGTCATCGACAACTTTTTTCCTAGTACGGAATTCCTACAGTCCAGGTTACGCTATACCTTCATGAGCTGGTATACGTAAGTACCTACGCTCTATTTTCTTGTCTATGATTGGTGGATTTTACTTGAGAGGCCGTCAGTGATTGGCTGATGAAGTTACGATCTCTTAACTTTTTTTGAAAGTATTGGTCCAGTTTACTCTATACCTTCACGAGCTGGTGTACGTAATACCACAATATTGTAGTTTGTGGTCCTGTGGGCTGTGAATGCACCACAATATTGTAGTTTGTGGTCCTGTGGGCTGTGGATGCGACACAATATTGTAGTTTGTGGTCCTGTGGGCTTTGAATGTGCTACAATATTGTAGTTTGTGGTCCTGTGGGCTTTGAATGTGCTACAATATTGTAGTTTGTGGTCCTGAGGGCTGTGAATGTGCCACAATATTGTAGTTTGTGGTCCAAGCAGGGCCACAAACATGTGTAAGGGGAAATATTCTGCGATGAAGAACGAAACGCGTGAAATGTACAAATAAAGAGCTTAAAATTTAAGGATTTTTTTTCGATTAACTTGCATAATATTTTTTTGTAATAAAAGTAATGAAGTTGTACTCAATAAATAATCATAAATAACAGTGATTGACTCACCGTGAATATTTTTAAAGCGTCAAGTGACGTTGTAAAGGTTGTAAAAACCTAGGTACAGTCAAAAATGTTTCAAATGAATATTTTTTTGAAAGAATTTTGTTGAAAATCTTATATTGTTTAAAAGGAACGCACGCTTCACATGAGCGGGACGGGGACGTGGCCCGTACACACGCTTCACATGAGGGGGACGGGGACGTGGCCCGTACACACGCTTCACATGAGGGGACGGGGACGTGTCTGCCCCTGTCTCTTATACACATCTAGATGTGTATAAGAGACAGGTGTAGGTGGACTGGATTATAAAGGAAAGAAGAGTGACCAGAGATGTGTAGGTGGACGGCATTATAAAGGGAAGAAAAGTGACCAGGAATGTGACGCTGGGCTGTATAAGACTGGGACGGTAAATACCTGAACAACGCGTATAGAAACAGATCTGAAATAAGGAGATTACATGTCCAAGTGTACATGTCTATAAATAAGAACTGACGCTGTAATATTGAATTATCTCCCTCGCCTTATTCATATCATCCCCTCTCCTCGTGTTCCTGAACCATCCATCTCGCAACCAAATCTAGCTGGGGGCTCATGCCGGGGTCAACCTTGTTAAACCTCACACTTCAGTTCCAATTCCTTTCCGTGGGTAAACATGCTGGAGGGCATAGCAGCTATAGTGAAGTTAAGTGCTTGGAGCCAGAACCCTGTATGTCTTCAGCCAAGAAATAAGCATGCTCTTAAGTTAGGCATGGTCGTACTGTAACTGGAATAACCTACTTCAGCCTAACCTCTTCTGGCCTAACCTTACCAAGTTGCAACATTTATACATCAAATTAAATCTGAGCTGACCTATACTATTCTTATTGGCTTCAAAAAGTTAGTAAGGCAAAAGAAGAGAGCAATGAAA